TTTTCGCACGCGTGCGATATGCAACAAAACGCTTCGTGTCTGTTTACAGCCGTAAGTTCGAAAATACAAAGTCTGATAAGTTTTCACACGCGATATATATATAAATTCTTCGCTTGTGGTGAGGTATTGCCAAGACATGGAGTTTTCTCACGTGTGCGACATGCAACAAAACTCTCTCGCGCGTGAGATATTGCCAAGATATCGAGTTTTCTCACGTGTGCGATGTGCAACAAAACTCAACTCGGTCAGTCACGTGCAAACTATTACTTCACTTGATGTCACCGCATCGTTATTCGCGCCAGCTGTGACAGAATAAGCATTAGAAAACGGCCGCGGATCGCATATCGCGCGTTGCGCCATGCGATATGCAACAAAGCCCTATTCAGATCAGCTGGGCAATACAATCATTCGACAATGGTCCGCGCCTCGCCGCGTATTTCCCGCGCGTTGAGGTTGCGATGTGCAACAAAACTCTTGAAATCCATACCTTTCTTTGTCTGAGTGTTATAGCCTGTTGTATAGGTAGGTAGATATTACAGCAGTTTTCTTCACTTCATCTGACCGTCGGTTGTAATCTCAAGCGAGCCCTTGTAACGAAGAGACGTCCGCGGCTCGCCGCGCATGTCCCGCGCGGTGCGCTTGCGATGTGCAACAAACTCTCTTGCGTTTCCTACCAGGCGTGATGAGATGTAGGTGCCCGGAGCTGTCACACGCTTTGGATGCAATAAAAACCTGTTGTTATTTCTAGCATGGGAGTTACAGCTCAGGCTAATAGAGTGGAAATTCAGAATCGTCCGCGGTCTCCGCGCGTTGCGGCTGCGATGTGCAACAGTTTGCTCTCTCTAGGAGTCGAACAGAATCATCACACAAAGTCTTTCCGGAAGCGTCCCGCGTGGTGTGCTACGCGAAGTGCAACAGCTCTCATCAGGTGTTGTCATATGTGGCATGGCGATGGTAGGGAAATGTGGGAAACGTCCGCGGATCGCCGAGTGTATTCCGCGCGTTGCGGATGCGATGTGCAACAAAACTGTGATCTTGAAATGGTGGAACATGATAGGAAGCAACAACTTAAGAAGTGGAAATGGTAGAAGCCGCGACATGTGTTTGATTTAGTGTATTATAATCCAGTGCCGGATCTGTCTACTTTAAGATCATCCCAGACTAAAGAATGCCTCAGACGACGACTACACGCCTTCTATCCCAACACCTTCAGGCCCCCTTTAGTCTTCCCAGACTTCTGCACTCCAGCCCCAGTCTTATCCCTATCCTTCCCTCCGTTCCTATTCTTCCCCTTTCCATTCTTCCCATGCCTATCCTTATCCTTCGGGTTCACAGCTTTAATTTCAGTCGTACTCCGCCTTAACAAGACAGGATGACTTCCAATATACTTTCCCTGCATTTCCCTCGCGGCGGAGAAGAATTCATCTCCATCGCTAAATGATACGAATCCGAAGCCTTTTGATTTGGTGGTTCGTTTGTCTCGGATTACACGTGCTTTTTGGATCGAAGGCCATCGGGAGAAGGCTTTGTAGAGAGATTCGTCGGTCACTTCGCCTGCGAGATTGCCCACGAATAGACGGAAATGAGCGGGGTCCCATTCAAGAAGTGAGGAATCGGACCAGGTTATACCTCCACCAGATCGGACAACGGTTTTGGAATTGGGGTTCTTGGAGTCGGATACGATATTAGCGACACCTGTATCGCTATGAGCGGCAGATGCCATAGCTGCTGATGACATTGACGGGCCAAATGTTTCTGATCGCGCTCCTGCCCCAAGTGGTGCGGCATTTGCAGATGTTGCCGCGCCGGAGCTTTCTGAAGTTCCATTGTTGAATCGACGGGCTGCTGGATTGGGGCCCGTATAACCAGAAGTATTACTCGCCGAAGAAGCGTCTTTCCCTGCATATGCCGATTGCCATTGTGCTATCTGTGCTGCCATGTCCGGATCTTCTTCATATGCCCTAACGCCTGGATTGGCGCTCGGAGGCGCAAACGGGTTTCTGATTTGAGGAGCGGCTCCATATGCGTCTGGCTGTGGTGCGGCATTGTAGCCTCCGTATGCTGGCTGCTGATATGGCTGAGGCGCCTGGTACGAATTATTGTATGGTTGGGGTGCTGCTACTGATCTAGGCGCGAAGCCTCCATACCCCGAGGACGAAGGTGGGTATGCGCCCGGTCGAGATGTTGCGGCATTATAGCCTTGTCTAGGAGGGAGGCTCGTTGGAGGAGGACGCGCGGGAAGAGATGGGTGTGAGGCGTTTGAGTTCAGACCTGGAGGTGGAGGATAGGACATGATGAATTGCTGGTCGGAAACTCTTATGGTATGAGTGTTAGACGTACCTTTGCGCCTTGAGACGCAGTGGTTTCTTCAGCTCGTTTCTTCGATTCTCTGGTGGATATAAAGCTTCTCTACGCGATTGTCGACTAGTTGCGGGTTACTGGTGGATTGTTGCTTGTGCAAACGACTAACGGTGGAGTGGTGGATGAAGAGGTTGGGATCTTGAAGATTCCAGTTAGGCTAGAAATCTGGTGGTGATGAAATCAAGCGCGTCCAAGGCGCCCAGCGTTTAAAGGCTTGGCTTAGGAGCGTTTCAAAGTCACATGTTCGGGCCGGCTCACTTTCCGACCATCGGTAGAAGCTGTCTTTATGCCTGAGGTATCACACATTTCTGCCTTATTTGGCGGGGTCAGTGGAGTTGAAAAAAACAAGGTGGGGGTATCGAGTCGGGACACATCAAATTGCATGAATAATCTGCCAGCAGGAAACGCGATGAAACGGATTAATCGTGGCCGAAAGAGGAAAATGAAGAGTTGCTGGGAGGCCGGTTATGATCATTGTTCAGTCACGATCATGGTTGCAGATAGGAACTGTGCCTTCCTGTCGCCGATTGATTGAGCGTTCTCATCCCGGCTTTATCCATCGTTACGAGCTATAATCCCTCAAAAGGAATACATCCTTCCCGCATCTCCACGACGCCTTTGATCCTCCGCGCAGATATATATACAACCGTCCATGATTGTATGGGTCGCGAGGCATTCCCGCGGTGATACTTGTGCTTCCAGAGATTCAGTCCCTGGCAAATGGTCGTCCCGTACCTAGTCTGAAGCGGTTGCTGTCACCACTCGAATCATGCTCGACCAAAGCAGCGATGGGAAGTGTCCAGGTGGTTGTCGACTGGTCAACCCTTTGTCAGCCTTTAGCAGATATTAGACCAGATCCAAGGCCAGTTACACTTCTCACGCAAGACTATTAGCTGGAAGAAATTCTGCATTGGCCCTTGTATCACTCAGATGATTACATCCATGTCATTCGTATTGAGATTCTGAAATAGCGCTCTTATTATGCCAAACTCTCTGTGCAAGTATCATCGTCGGGTTTGACCAGCTACCTACTTCACCAGCACCGCTGCTTTATCTCTCCTTCCATGTTCATGCCTCACCACTTCGCCTAGCCCAGTCGAGGAGCCTTCGCCGACTAAGCAGCCCCTCCAACCATTTAGACCTCCCAACCTTTCCGTCACCTCTAAACAATTCTTTTCCTTTACAACACCAAGCTTCCCTCTTACTTTACAACACCTGGCTGGAATCGATTTCCAGACATTCCATTGAATTTCTTCTCTACACCATATCCTCCGTCTCTGACGCACATTAGTCACCATGAGCTCACCAACGTAAGTGTTGTTTTCTTCCCCCTCGCAAATTACCCCACCATCGCTATCGTCATGCCACGGACGTTTCAGCGCTGCGCAGTACCACCAGCCAGTATCCAGGCGCACAGTGTAGATAGTTACATCTAACAGCTCTGCATCTGCTCAACCATGGCATGAATTTTTCCGTTGACAACTGATCTCGACTTCCTGCAGCGCTCGACTAGCAGCCATCAACATTGGCGGGTCCACGTCTGCAAGTGCGCGCGGAGCTCCGGAGCCTCATCTCAACAACAATAATAGTTTGGATTCGAGTTTGAGCTCGAATATTGATCAAGATGCTGACCATGCTCCTAGAGGAGATTTCGGCCTCATCGGCTTGGCCGTTATGGGTCAGAACCTGATCCTCAATGCTGCGGATCATGGATTCAACGTTATTGCCTTCAACCGTACCGTCTCAAAAGTTGATCATTTCCTTGCAAATGAGGCCAAGGGTAAGTCCATTCCCTTCTCCTGGTTTGAAGATCTTTTTGCGAAAATAAAATGCTAAGTTTTGTTTTTTTAGGAAAATCGATCGAGGGCGCCCACTCCATCGAGGAGTTCGTGAGCAAGCTCAAGAAGCCCCGTCGTATGATGATGTTGGTCATGGCTGGAAAGCCAGTCGACGACTTCATTGAGACTCTTCTTCCATTCTGCGAGAAGGGTGATATCATTATCGACGGTGGTAACTCGCATTTCCCAGACACCAACCGACGAACAAAGTACTTGGCGGCAAAGGGCATTCGATTCGTCGGTTCCGGTGTATCTGGTGGTGAGGAGGGTGCCAGATATGGCCCATCCATCATGCCAGGAGGAAATGAGGAAGCATGGCCATATATCAAGGATATCTTCCAGGGCATTTCCGCCAAGAGTGATGGCGAGGCATGCTGCGACTGGGTCGGTGACGAGGGTGCTGGTCACTACGTAAAGATGGTACACAATGGTATTGAGTACGGTGACATGCAATTGATTTGCGAGGTGAGCAACTCTAGGCATAAAATCCTCAATAACAAGCTGACATCAAATAGGCATACGATATCATGAAGCGAGGTCTCGGAATGCAAGACAAGGAGATTGGTGATGTGTTGACCAAATGGAACAAGGGTGTTCTCGACTCCTTCTTGATCGAGATTACTCGTGACATTATGTACTTCAACGATGATGACGACACTCCTCTTCTCGAGAAGATCCTCGATTCTGCTGGACAGAAGGGAACCGGAAAGTGGACCGCCATCAACGCTCTCGATCTCGGAATGCCAGTCACCTTGATCGCCGAGTCGGTCTTGGCTCGTTGTCTCTCATCTCTCAAGGGTGAGCGTACTCGTGCCTCTAAGGTTCTCGAGTACGTTGGACGAACCAACAAATTCGAAGGTGATAAGCAACAATTCTTGGACGATTTGGAGCAAGCTCTTTACGCATCAAAGATTATTTCTTACGCACAGGGTTTCATGCTTATGCAAGAGGCTGCCAAGGAGTACAAGTGGAAGCTCAACAAGCCATCCATTGCTCTCATGTGGCGTGGTGGATGCATTATCAGATCCGTTTTCTTGAAGGATATTACCGCCGCTTACCGTGCTGAGCCAGATCTTGAGAACCTTCTGTTCAATGATTTCTTCAAGAAGGCTATCCACACTGCCCAGCCTGGATGGAGAGACGTTGTTGCCAAGGCAGCACTTCTCGGTATCCCAACTCCGGCTTTCTCCACTGCTCTCTCATGGTTTGATGGTTACAGAACAAAGGATCTCCCAGCCAACCTGTTGCAGGCACAGAGAGATTACTTTGGTGCTCACACCTTCAAGATCAAGCCAGAGCATGCCAGCGAGAAGTACCCAGAGGGCAAGGACATCCACGTCAACTGGACCGGTCGTGGTGGAAATGTCAGTGCTTCAACATATCAAGCATAAGCGATTTTTTTGGGTCGGTGACGGTTTCGGCAGTGCTGTATTTAGAGTGCTTTTTTCATTACATACCGTAACATGAACAATTATCCATTGAATTCAAAAGTTATACCTATTGCAATATCTGTTCCTTGCTCTTTTGTTTGTGGTGTTGAAAATTGTGCGTGTTTTCTTATGCACATTGAGTTGCTCCGTTGCAATGATAAATTCTTACGGGACTTCCATATGAACTCAGCCAAGTTAAGCGTCTTGAGAGTGCTATATTTCCAATGTTCTTGAAATCAGAATTCAGACGTTGTTAAAACGATCCTAACATTTTGTACAAAGTCTTCTATCTTGTATCCAACTTGTCGTGTTTAACAAAAGTGTCTCTTCAGGATTACTCACCATTTTTCCTGCTTAACTGGTTAGACCATTCTGTAACCAATTAATGGTTTCATTGGTTGATATTGTAATTTATCAGTCGTACAACTACTTCGTCAACACAATATCCTTGCTATCGTTCATGCTATATCGATGATGTTTCACCGTCGAGGTTTATAGGCCATGGATATGGTGGGTAGAAGGGGGTGGGGAGGATCTTGGAGGTGGAAGTGGGTGGTTGTGGGAGATAGTTGTGGATGTTGCTGAAATTCTGAGTTTTCGTGTAAATGTTCTTTGCGTTTGGAGTGTGGAGAGGGTGGGTTGGGTACAGGTTGAGATGGATGGAAAATTATACACCCTGCAATTTTCTCATGGATTTTTTTGTCGCTTGTTGGAGTTCTGGAGATGGAAGTCAGGATGCGGTAGCGGGACATCGTGTTTGTATACCATGTTCTTATGCTTTTATCAAATTTGGATGCGCGAAACTACTCGTCCGATTTTTCATCCTCCACATCGACCGAGCACTTATTCTCAAACGAATATGCTGGTCCATTTCATTAGCGAGCATGCTTGTGGGTACTTCGGAACAACCCACTGTTCCGGCCGTAACGTATCTCTCTTTTTCTTGGGGGATATCGTAGGATTGCGCTTGTTGCTATTGTAAGACTTGCTCTTTTGGGGGGTTGGGAGATAAGAAATGGTATTCACTGTTTGAATGGCTTTGTTGGGTGGGTCTGATAGGATGGGGATGGCATTGAGGGAGGGCGACGATAGGGCGGTTGGAGGGAGGTGGAGGCGTGGTGAGACGTTTTTTCGAGTGAGCGTTGCGTACTGTGTTGATGTGTGTTTGATTAGGTAGGATTTTCACTTCATAATTTTGAGTTAGGGGAGGAGGGAAGATGTTTTGAGAGTTTGGGTGTTGATGGCTGAGTGATTTTTTTCCTTTGTTTTTGAATTCCACAGTTTGTTTAGCTGCCAAAAGCGCCATGTAGTCGTAACTGTCTACAAACTTCCTAGAGTCTCCCACTTACCAACGGTACCTATTCTATAGCACGATATCATAGCTCTAGTCCCCTCGTTTCGATATTCGTGTTGCTACTGTGATTGTAGCTCCTCCTAGAGGCTCAAATGCCCTACCCCGTACAGGTTTTTTATACGATCGTCTCCAAAGTGTACCTTTCGTGACCTTCCTCCAGAGTTATTACCTAGGAAGTATCCTAGTTCCTGTCCCTTACCCCTAACACGACGGTTTCTACCGAATTTGTCTCCTCCCGAACAGGATAGCGTTTGGAAAAGACTCCTATCTCTAATGATGGATGAGGGTTGGTTGTTATCTTAGGTTTTGTGAGTTCCTGGGGTGCCTGATGGTTTGGGTACCTAGGTAGGATGTCTTAGCTATAACTGACACTTGAACGATGTTTCAAGCTTCGGCTTTTCTCGCTTTCATATTAGTCAAATCTTAATAAAACGTCTCATCAACTTGAGCATGTAGTTCCTCAATATTGAATGGCATCTCTTCTACCAATAAAACCTCAGGTGTCATACTCCCATCATAATTTCCGCTTAAAATTTCATTTCCCCACGTCATACTTCTCAAAGACGAAAGAACAGAGACTCATTTCATAGGCGAAGAACGAGAAAACAGCTGCTAGCCAATTGTGTCAAACGAAATGAGTCTATTCTCTACCACTCAGCTCGTTTCTTTGGGTTGCTCTTGAGTTGTTAAGGGAATTTTATGAATCATCTTACCTGTACAGATGTTAGTTTAAGCGAGGAAATAAGGGGTAGATTTTATATCCCAAGTAAAAACACCAGGAAAATATAGCATATGCATACCTTTCATCTCGAGAATCATCCAAGACACATTTCCCCATACATAATTTCTTATCAATCGAACAATTTCTCACAAACTACTTTCACCCCGCGAAGAATTCAAAGCTGAACTCGTCGTTCTCTCCACCGCCCGGATCCCAGCCTCCCGAGCGAAAAATCGAGGGAACAGTGAACTGGTTTGCCAGTTTCCAACCGCGTCGCGAGAAAATTTCGATCTCTTCCTTCTTTCCTTCTTTTCTCTTTACACGCCACGGTTCAAAGATTGCAATTCTTGCAATAACCTCGTTCTAATTCTCGTCGATCCAATTGACTCAATTACTTCTGATCCAACCTCTTGACGCGCTTTTTCGCCGTCTTTTCCACACGTACCAACTCTTTCGCTGCCGTTGCAAGCCAATTGCCCAGCAGGCAAGTATTTCCTCGAACTACTACGATATTCCCAATCGGTGCTAATTGGAGATATATAGACACAATGTCTCCACCAAGATACTATCAGCCAGGGACGGTTGGAGAACAGCCTTCGCGTCCTTCTGGTGTTCCGAGGAACACACCACCTAGGCCTGCCGTGCCAGAAGCTCTGCTAGCGCCAGCGATGAGAATTGGGGAGCAGCCTTCGCGGGACTCTGGTGTTCCGAGGAACACACCACCTAGGCCTGCGCTCCCCCCGGTGAGAAGCATCGGGGAGCAGCCCTCATCAGGCTCCAATATCAAGAGGAACGCTGGCACTAGCTTTCAGATGTCAGTCCCTGCGCCAGCGCCACCACCACCAGCAGCATCTCAATTCGCTCCTGCTGAGTCTTCGGCTTCGGCTGAGGCTCAGGAGAGAGGAACGAAGCGTACGAGACCATCTGAACCAGCTTCTGCTCCCGCTCCCGCTCGTGCTCCCGCTCCGGCTCCAGCACCCCCAGCTCCAGTCGTGCCAAATCTGGCACCAATTGCTCCACCAACTCGTTTGTCTTCTGGTCCTGGAAAGGGAAAGGGGAAGCGACCTCTTAATGGGTTTGCAAATAAAACCGCCCAAAGTGTTCCGGGGTGGCAGCAGTCGTTTCCAGCACCGATCTCAAGTGGCATTGCTTTTCAGCAATTCACTTCCCAACAGGCTGCTCCGGCACCTTCTTATAGTGGCAATCATGCTCAGCAGAGCTTCCAGCAACAGGTTGCCTCGGCACCTGGTCACAATAGCCGTTCTATTCAACAGAGCGTCCCGCAGCAACTGCCTATGACTCCAGCTCATAATGGCTTTCAAGATCAATTGAGCCAGTTGCAGCAATTTGCACAGCGTGCCGTGAGTGCCCAGCACGCTTCTCCACGACAGTATCCTTGGACGCGGCTTCGACAAACACAACAAAACGGGGCTCTGGGATATACCAACCCCTATACACCTACTCATCGTACCACTAATTATAGTGGAAGCTACCCACTCACCCCTCCGCCATCTCCTCTAACCCCCAAGAAGCTGAACCCCTTGTCCTGTAAGCGAGAGAAAACAAAGAAGACCACGAAAGAGGTATATAGAGTCATCCAATTGAAGCAAGGCAAAAAGCGCTTTGGAAAAGTGGAACCCAAAAGACGGAAGCAAGATGAAAAGAACGATATCTTAAACAGATTCGAGAAGCAAATCGAGTACCGAGAGGCTGCCGTTGGACGGATGGACTGTAGATCTGATTACCTAGGGTTCGGAAGACGAGATGTGTACGGCAAGTTATTATGTACTCGTCTTTGAAACGCATGGCTGCTGACTTTATTCCTAGAGCTTGAGCTCGCTTTCGAAGGGCTTAAAATTGACCTAAAATGAGTGGTGGCCGGCTTCCTCACAGAGCTCGAATTCTGGTGGGCGATCATTGTCGAAGTTGCTTTTGTCCCTTAGTGGTCTTTCTGTTGGACTTTGAGGATGTCTCAAATTGTTGATTTACTTTCCGACCTTTTTTATATATGGCTCTTCACTTTTCAGAAGATGACATGGCAGCAGGTTGGACCTCCCGACGTTGGGCTACCCGATTCAGCTAGTCATCATGACTAAGCGGGATCCACTTCGTCGCGGTCGCATCTTTTGTCGCGACACCTGTCTGTCATTCACGGCATCAATTGTTGATTTCTTGCAATTGTCAGCCAACAGATTCCCGTCGCAGAAATCATCATGCAGGAACCAAGTCAAGGAATTCATCGCGACCTGGTAAGTACAAGTTCAAAGTGAATGCAAATGGCAGATCATTGACAGTATCATCGCAGCAACCGCATGTCCATCTTCTCTCAACTTACAGATTTCCAAGTTTACATTCACTTCATCCCGAGAAGGTAGCAGAATGGCTATTGGGAGCCCCAAAAATCGCGCGCGATACAGCTCCGTTCTACTGGACTTACCTTGATCGACCTCCGCCAACCTCGATTTTCCTCACATGGCAGTCTCAATCCTTAGGCACAGAATTTCCAAGTGATGGTTATATATGGGCGCCTAGAGAAGAAAGCTTCCAGCTAGAGATCAATGGTGGATACGTAAGCTGCCAGACCCAGTTGCGGACAAGAATTGTCCTGCTATGTTGGGTACACATCTGACAGACTTCAGACTATCGAAATGTATCATTACAAGGTCGGCTATGCACCTGGTGAACCTGTCGCGCTACACGCCCGGCGAAGATATCGTCTTCTTCCTTCCAAAAGACCAGGAGCTCCAATGCCAGACCCGTGTCTATGGATCACGCATTATACCCAGGCTGAACCTGCGGATCGAATCCCATCGAATCTCATTCCAATCGACGCAAGAGGTCACCAGTCGATCAGCACGCGGGCTTATCTCCACGCACAAGGCCAAATCGTGCAGAAAGATTTCATGCTGAATGATAGGACCAATTGGCCACAAATAGCGTTTCCAAGAAACCAGCCTCGCGCAGCACCGATATACGGCAATAGCGCCCCTCCACCGAGGATGCCTCAACATATTTCATATCCTCCACAGCACCCTACCGTCGGACCCCCTGCGAAACGGGTAAGAACGCAACCGACTACAAACCCAGCGGCTCCAGGTAGTGCCATCGCTGTCCTTGATGTAGATGATGAAGAGGATACTTCTCGCGGGGACCTTTTCGATCACACGACTCCTCGAGAGATCAGCGAAAGCAGATACAAGCAAAACCACGAGTGGATGGAAGAGGTGTTGTCTTCACCCTATGCGATCAACCAACTCATCCCTGCAGATCTCGGGCTTGGAGTCCGCGGACAGCTTGTGCGACTCACGGAGGGCATATTTGACGCACCTTTAAATCCTGACACGGATGTCGTAAAGCACAACTATGTTGGGAAGTTGGATCCGGAAAAGGCAGAATTGTTTCGAAAGCGTGTGGGTGATGAGATCTCCCAGACTAACAAGGAGATGGAGAAAATCAAGGCAAAGCATGCAAAGCGTATGGCAAAGTTCAAACGCGGCTCCTTGATTACCCAGGCAGAGAAGCAGCTTCGAACTGCCGTCAATGATCCAGCAGCCACTGGCCCTGAATATTGGCGTCTCGAAGGTAAAATTGATACCGAAGATGGGGATGATACCCCGCCGGTCACTCAAACTCCTTCTAAGGTTTCCGACATCCTTGCACAAGTTGAGGCATCTTTGGGTCGTCATGCCGCAGTTGTCCAGGAACTGATTTGTGTCCAAAAAGGTGGCTATGAAGAACCTGTAGCTCGACCGAGTCCACGTGCTCCAGTTGTTCCCAGCCCCCGAGTATCACCACCTGCTTCCAACAATGGCTCGCAGAATAGTGGTGTACTTGTCGGTGATGCAGATATCGAAATGGGTGGTTCTGCTGCTGGTTTACTTGATCAGTATCATACCGGATTATCCTCGAACGCCACTCCCGCCAGTGGTGGCTTTCCTACCCCTCAACCTCATTTACAAGCACCTTCATCAGCTGGAACTCCCAATTTGACTGGGGCTTCTCCACGTCCTATGGGTCAGACGTCCATGCATCAAATGCCACACAATGAGGTCAACATGTCGAACATGGGACAAACAACAGAGCAGCCGCTAGACAATGGTGGTTCGGGCGATTGGGTTGTTGTACCACCTGGTGGTGTCTCCCCTTCGAACAACATCGCGCAAGCTCCGATTCATACCATGCAATCTTCTCATATGAACGCTCCCACCGCCGGTACACCTGCTTCAGCACCCCTCACAGGAAATCCTTCCCCTCACCCAACAGGCTCTTCGAACCAGACTCCTCTTGCGGATTTTCATACATCGCCTAATGATTTTGCCGATCTAGGAGATCTTGATTCCGCTGGAGATGCGTTGGCTGGTTACGGAGAAGGTCTTGGTGGCGATAGTGGTGGCCTTGGTGATCTTACCATGGATATGGATGGTGGCATGGACGACTCGGCATTTGGAGATGCTTTTCACGGCGTTGAGAACCCCGGAGATAATGAGCACGACGGTCTCTGAGTGTTCGGTGGAAATGAGTTGGATTAGACATTGGAGTGGAAGCAATATCGATGCATCAGAATCACGCTACGCCATCTCGACATAAAGTGCGATTGCGAGACTATCCATTGACCCTGGGCTACTTCGGAACGTCGCTGGGCTGTACATTGTTTTTGGAGGGGTGCTTTTGTAGTATTGATGGAAGTCCTGGTCCATGATTCGTTTCCTGACGGCAAATGACTCGGTCCCGCCTCGTGGTTGCTCACCCAACCTCTTGTAGGCAACCGAGTCATAGTGGCCTCGGAAACTGAAACGGATGATATTCTTTCCTAACCTTTCATCATTGATACGGCGCTCTGGAATCCCGCCACTTCAATCTTCTCTACACCCATTTCTGTTCTTCGTCTCAGGGTTATTCTTTCGATCTCTTTGATAAGCCGAACCGATGCGCTCGGTACCAACATTGTAAACTAAAGATACGGAAATTGGTTCAGGCTGGAAAATCTGTATTAACAATAGAGCTACTATTTCTTGATGATCGTCCAGTTGCCATTGAAGCACGCTTTCCTAATGCAGTCGCGACATATATTACACCGCCCCAATTAATCAGCCACAACCTGCCACAACACATATCGAGCCTCGCAAGATTCCATCATTTATCTACCAACATTCATGGAATGTCTGTTCACCACCAGAGATGGGCTCGGGCAATTGAAAGCTGTCGAAAAAACGCACCATGGCAGAAGCACCGCGAGTCAAATATCGGCCACTCGCACGAGGAGATGAACACGAAATCCGCCTATTGCATCTTGAGCCTCGTTCGTTCTCCAAAGGAATTTCTTGTTACTTCAGCTACGCATTTCTAGAAGACAATCCAGTCTACGAAGCTTTGTCTTATATGTGGGGCCTAGAACAAATTTGTGGGAGTATAGTCGTCGATGGCACACCTTGTAAAGTGAGAAAGAATCTTTTACTAGCATTGAAGCGACTCAGACTCCGCGATGAAGAGCGCATACTATGGGTTGACGCTCTATGCATCGATCAAGACACGCCTGATGAGAGGAATCACCAGGTGTCTCAGATGGGCCAAATATATAGCCAAGCTCGAAGGGTATGCGTCTGGATTCATCCTGATCAGCCAGTCTTCAGACAAATCCCTCAATCGATTAGGCCTGCTGGAATTGATTCGTCATCAAGTTGGCTCACATATGAAGTTGTTCACGAAATATGCCATCAGACATATTGGAGCAGGCTTTGGATTATTCAAGAACTGGTTTTAGCTGCGGATATACAGCTATACTTTGGGAACTTAACAGTCTCCTGGGCGGCTTTTTCTGCAAGTTTACGCGGACTAGGCTACAACACGAAATCTCACGATTTGATGACAGCACATCTCAATACATATGATACAACGCCTGCGAAATTACTACGTCTGTCAGATACAAATGTCGACCAGATCTCGCAACCCAGTGAGCATACGCTAATTCATCTCATGACAATTTATCATTCAGCAAGGTGTGCCAATCCACGAGATAAAGCGTACGCGCTTTTAAGTTTGGCTGCCCCCTGCTGCCAGAACGCTGTTCCTGTTGATTACGATAAGTCCGTATACGATTTGTGGAACGTCTTGCTCGCGCATCACTTGTCGGTACATTGCACATATGCTACTACTATTGATAATATTCCGACTGCCATCCGAGGGGCGAATGGCTATGTTGATAGCCAACGAATCAAGCAAGCCATAGCGATACGCAATCTTCTCTCAGCTCGGACGCCACCAAAGCAGTGCCATCAGCTTACGGCAAAACTAACACGTCTTTTCTCGGTGTCTAATGAACTGCAAGTTAATTTTACAGAATGTGAAACCATAAGCATGATCGGCACTATTTCATCACCTATCTACCATGTTAGTCCTCCGCTTGGAAATACTGGGCGTCCACTAGCTTGGTTGGGATCAAAATCTGCGCTCGAAGTGTTTCACTCAGCAAGCAAGATCAAAGAACACTTAGATCAAGGGTTGTCTTCGCATAACGCTCGAAATTATGTTACTGCACCCGGCCAACGTCCACACTCCATTGCCAACTTTTCAAATGAGATAGATCTCATTCAGGAAATTCCGAGCGTACATCAAACGCCCAATTCTCGTTTTGTAGATACATCCGGACGAATGAATGGCCATGCGCCAGTCCAGGGCCTGTATGTCAGTAGAGCTTTGGACGCCTCAGAGCCTGTTGCATCATATGAGTATGATTCTCTAGTTGAATTACTTAACATCCTCGAAAGCATGATCGCCAACAGCTGTTTACCAAATCCTTGCGTCCTGGCTGTCGAAGAAAGTGGCAAAGCAGTACTCGCTCCGCCCAACACTAAGCTAGGGGACTTCATATGCAAACTAGAGTCAAGTTCAATATATCTGATCCTACGTCCGAACGGAGTAAGTACACCACTTTTTGGTGCCGGTATTGATTCCCGGAGGATCAATAGAGACGCACTTTTTAATAGCAATCTCTACACTATTGTCGGTCGAGCCATAAGTCTATTCTCTTCGGATCCTGGGTGGAATTTTCCTCTCTATGACGTTCCATTGATTAATATTTACGTTGACGCGCCGGTCCTGCAGACCTTGACGAGGCTTTCGGCGGTGAGTGAGCCTGCGGCTTTTGTTGATCAAGATGCTGGAGATGTTCAGGAGAATGATAATGGGACTTGGGGTAGAGCGGCTTTACCAATATATGATATGGAGGTGGACATTGAATTGGGGGGTTGTTGGAGTTAAAGATTTTGTTTGTAATACGTAGGCAAAGGGTTGGAATAGCCGGAGAATCTATTTTCTGTTATGTGTGGCATCCTTTGAACTTGTTTTTCGTATATATACCCTTTCTACATCTAGGTAGCTAGCATATATACGTGTATTTCGTATTGAATAGAAGTGCTCATCCAAGTGAGAGACATACCCCTAGAAGCCCGCATCGAAAATGATCTAAGAAGACCTAGTATGATATTTTCTTTGCGCCGAGAGGAACGCTGAGATATATAACCACTTTTCAGAAGACGTCAATCAGCGATCTGAACCCAGTACTCCTAGTCTATCGCGAAACAGTGCGCAGCTAAAAATTCAGTTTAAGTTTTCGACATAGGATTTAGTGATGACAGAATAGTATTTATCAAGATGACAGGATAAATAGAACCAGGTATCCGATGTGTTGAACATGCGACAAATGCTGCATTAACACATGTAACATTATATCTAGTTGGGAAGTCGTTAACATTTCAATTAGTAGCTTCCAACAGACATTTATATACTAACAATTCATCATTTCTCCACTTGCCAGGCGGTTGATGTAGAAGATTTCAGCTTCAACATTTTCCGTAAGCTCGTTAACCCCGTAGAAGCTTCTTTGCAATTTCATATCTGCAGCATCAGGTTACTTATTGATACTTTGAACCCTCCATAAATGATCTTGCGTTTGATAGAAACGGCTTTATTTCGATCTGGTATGCAAAAGAATGGGTTACAATATCTGTGACCCATCTATCACAAATTCATGGAGCGACAAGGAACTAGTGAATGAATCACTGCTCTATTTCAACCTTCAATCTTCTATCAATCTCTGCCTAGTTTATGTGTATTATAACTCTACTTGCTAGGGCAATACTTTGCGATATATACATCTTAAAAAGAACAAAAGATAAGCTGTGGCTGTGTAGAACTTCAAATTATAACTTCCCTGCCTCCTTCAGGTTTGCTCAAGTCGTAAAATTCTCGGTTACTATATTCTCCCTTCGAGTTTTCATGCTATATAATCGGACTACTTTCTAGATACTCAACAAGCCATGATCTATACTCATCGTATATATCTGCAGTGAGGCAGAGAACTGATGAGCTCGTTTCAAAAATCATACGCACTTTCCGATACATGACTTTTTAGACCCACTGAGAACGACGACCCAGAACTTCAGCATCGTCCTCTTTAGTGAGCGTTGCAACAACTTTGTCCAGTTGTTCCCCGCATCGAAGTGCTTCTATGATCTGGTCGACCTTGACCTTACCCGTTCCGGGCGGTAAAGAGCACATTATGTTCTCGGTTGTCGGGCACTTCGCTTGCAAGTCTTGGATCTGATTTACGAGATTCCAATGGCTTGCTTCGATATCTTCTTGGTATATACATTGCCTCATACCAGTCCGTTTCTCACGCCCTGAGCAAGGCTTTGTTTTGCTGCACTATTAACAGTCAGCATGCCTTTCATCAACCTCAAATAACATATTGTTGGTAAAGTATATTATACCTCGGAACGAGCATTAGCACAGTTGAAACAAAAACTTTTGAGGTCATTTGGAGATCTTCGAGGCCAAGGTGAAGCTTTACCCCAATGCTGTACCGAAATGTGAGCCAGTTGCTCCATGTGGTGCCCGAGATATTCTTCAAATCTCTCCCCCGATACCCATGTATGGCCGTCATCTCCTTCATCTGTTCTCAGCTCGTCGCACAGCGGACAGTCTTTTGCTGAAAATGTACTTTGTGGACCCCGGTCTTCAATAAAACGCTCAATTTCCCAAGGATCCATTGGATTGTTAGGGTGATGATACTCGAAATGTTCCGCATAATCTTGGCTCGTCGAGTCGAAATCTGCTAAGCAGGCAACGGAAGAGGTTTTGCATATTTTGCATGTCCAATGGCGTCGATGATACCGGAGTTCGTGATCGAACCAGTGTCTACGATTACTGAATGCTCGATGAGTACAATGTTTTGATGTGCAAATATACGTTCGGAGATCGGAGAATACATGGTTCCTAAGCATAGGTTAGTTACCACAGGTTTCATTCTGCAATTGCTTACACCCATTGCGCATGTTTCATTATCCGGTAATTCTTCTGGCATAATGGACATCGAAAATGATCTAACCCATCGACGCTTGGAGAGCCTGGCATGGAAGCCCATGATGCGTGTAGCCTAGGAGAAGCAGTATGTGAGCGTTGAAGGATATCTACATTACGATTAGTGGTCGATCTGATCAGCACTTCTGGTTCGACGGCTAGCGCTGTTGAGCATTCGTACCAGACAAATCACTTGAAATTTCCTCATCCGCCAGGTCAAGCTCTCCATAGGCGGTCATTGGTGTGGAAGAGATAAAATTACTCTCTCGACGGTAGGCCAGAAACGTGCGTCTATCGGCGATCGCCGCACCTAATCGATGAAGTAGCCATTCGTTACCGCGTTGAGCCTTATGGAATTTCGTTTTGACGTAGGCAATATCATGCGTCTTGTTGTGGTTATAATTGCGACTAGCTGTAAGGTAGTCTTGTTCCAATTCCGAAAGCTGATCTGGTATATCATGTATTCTGCGGAAATGCCAATTTCATCATCGTCAGTTGCATCAGCATGAACAACGAGATTTGCCGTCGACTCTCCTATTCGAATCTCGTGCTGACCTTCGTGTCTACCCACACTGGATGCTTGACTGGTTGGTATCTTTGAGGTACGATCGATGGCTAGAAAACGGTTGGGGAGGCCCGCACCGTTTTCGGCGTAGCGGCTGTGGATATCGGGCTCAGTCTCGTGCGCTGATGAGAACACTACCTTCATACACATATGACTCGGACTCAATTAAACCATTGTGAGAAAGAAGGTGAGAGGGAAACCTTACCACTCCACCCAAGCGGGTTCCTCCAGGCGCTTCCACATCCCGAAACATTTTTTGTCAGGGCAGATACTTGAGTCTTCATTGTCTCCTATGATGGGACTTCTATGTATCACTGCCATGCTAACCGTAGCACCAGGAGAAACAAAATTTGCCCAATTACGTCCCGATAATCGTTGATTGTGGTGCAAGCTCATTGGCTGATATTGGCCGCGACGAACCAATGAGCTCCCTGGCAAGTTTTTGAACTCTTCTCGAATGAAAGTATGAAAAATCTAGAATGCATTAGATTCTGTCATCGTTTGAGGCACTGCGATACAAGCCTTATAGTTACGAAAGATCTCGTAAGACAGTGTCCTGGGAGGCGAGCCGTAAGCGTCCAAAAAAGTTATATTGTAATTCGCCAGAAGGAGTGGTGTTATCGCTCGCGAGGGTTCAAGCAACCTTCGTCGAAAGCTCTGTCAGTAGAAGAATCTTCGTCGGGGACTGGTGCACAATCACCTAGACAGAGCCAAGCTCAGATAATGTCAACATTGAAAACGGGCCAGGAAGTGAGAGTCACTTACAATAAGTTGCGAAGGAATTGACCCACATATAGCAAAACTGAATAGTACCTGAAGTGGCATTAGTCATATCCCATGTCGAACTAGGATGATCGTACACTTCTCTGAGAGACTCTTCCGTTGTGCTTCCATATCCTTTGCGTTGAAATTCTGCGTGCTGCGTATTAGGGATGATGCGATGTCTGTTGTTGCCAGCTATTTTCCTTCCCCTAGGACGACGACCTCCAACAATGTGAGTCTGTCCTCTGGCCCGCGTTTTCTTGCTGCTTATCTTCTGCAACGTATCAACTTTCAAACAAGACTCAATGCGCTGCTGTGTGATATGTGAGTCAGTCAAATGAGTCTTAATTTTCTGGATATCCGATTCAAAGTCAGGATAAGGATGAAGATCGAAGCTCCCTTGCAGTTTGAGAGCGACTTCGGTGCAGACCGAAGAGCCGAGACTTTCGCGGAGCAGTCCCAGAATGTTTGGTGAAAGCACGTCTGTAAAAATAGTTTCCATCTGTTGGGGGAGGGTCTCCTGAACCTTCAAAACGACATCCCTTGAAAGAATCAATTCCTTGGAGCAAGATCTGGGAAGAATTCATCACTCACAAGGTCAAGCGATGGATTAAGGTATCAATAATTCGCATATGTTGATCAATCTTTGCTTTCAAAGCTAATACCTTATCCTCCTTAGCGAAATGCCATTGTAGCTTTTTCCAAACATGTCGATGATGACCCTGAGCTGCACTCTTCCCTAAACTAGGTTCGTACTTTCTCACGGCATCTATAAATTGCTCGACTGGTCCTCGGATCAAAGAAACTTGCTGGGTGATCTCATCACCATATGTTGGATGAACTTTCAACGCGGTAAGGGTGTTCAGACCGTCAATCGTGCGGATAAGATCTCGTAGGAAGTTAACAGACTCTTGATAATTACCAGCAGCACCATCAGTACTATCGAGTGCTTTGACAAGATTGAACAGGAGAGTTAGAGCTGCGGCAATATCGCCGGCAGACCATCCGAATGACATCTTTGTGATGGAGAAAGATATCGAGTGTCCGCGAGGCTGAGAACTACAGTATTACAAACGCCGCAGCACCCAATGGGTTGAAGATCCGTGAGCCATTAACCTTAAGGCTCTTCGTTCTCTGACAGCCAAACGCCACCAAAGCCACTTTTATGATCGGCATAGAACATTGACAACATGGGTGAGGAACGCAACAAAAGCTTCATTCATACAGAGAGAAGTTGTGATGCAGTGTGTATTCCATAACTACGCGGACGGATTTCTGGATTAAGTGCTCAAATGACAGCATGAATTAGACATTCAAGCCGTAGGGTAGCAAAATAACAAACAGACATGATACAACAATCATGAGTGCAAGAGAAAGTCAAAATACAAGCATGCTTTGCAAGCGGTCGTGTAATCAACTTTGATGGAGGAGCCGCTTGGTCATTGAGTAATCATGGAAGGAGAAGGAGTAGGGTGCCACAAAATTTTGCGTAGAACATTTCGTAGGAGGAATCAGGAATCAGGGATGTCGAGGTGTGCCAACCAGTCCGTAATCCGATGTTTGCGGGTGAGTAAGAAGATCTTGCGACACAAATGAGGAATAATATCCTTAGGTGGAAGTGCGTGCTTTGGTGTTGTCTCAAAGATTCTGTCTTCGCGACTTCTCTCACCGCCCTGGCGCGTTTCAATTGAGTTTCGGTCGGTAACATCATCTGACTTCCGATCTGGTCCTGCTCTTCCAAATCCAGCTTAATCCAGCTCCTTGGAGCTCGGTCTGCGGTCTGAGCTTTTAGACCAGAACATCCACACCAATCCTGCCGGCAGACACGAGATCGCCGCGGTCACAGACAGGGAAAGAACCTGGTTCAAAGAGCTAAAGACACCGACGTGGTAATGTGGAGAGCGCAATGTTATGGACTCTCCACATCACCACGCAGTTGCAGCAATTGACCAGAATATTTCTTCAACTTCTTCGCCATTCCCAAGTATCCCTCTGACTCGTTTGTCGACCTCAAAACGCCCTGCCGAGCACTCCAGCGACGACAGCGACGCTCCTGATGCAGCAGCCGCTTTTTCTAGAACTCGAACCCCTGATCGCAGAATGTCGGAGTCTTCAGGGCACAGGAGGAGGAGAAGTAGTCTTATGAACAACATAGAGAGTAGTTCAAGGGGGAAGCCACGACGAGCTTCTGCATCACCGACCAAGAAAGATCCGATTGCAGAGGAGCCGAAAGTGACCGATGGCTTACTGGATGAGGACAACAAGAGCACGAGTGAGGATCTGGAGATGGACAACTTTACAGACGACGGGCTACAAGACGACGAGGAGACTGGGTTGACTGGGGGTAGTAGAGGCAGACGGAAAGAGAAGAAACGGAGGAATACCTTGCTCGACCATCGAATAGCCGGCGACTCCACGATAACGGACGAAGAGAAGAAGCAGGCTGATCAGGATGTGTTCAGGGCGGGTATTGTCAACGCGATACTCATTGCCTTGTGGTACATATTTTCGTTATCGATCTCAATTGTAAGTGCTCATATCTAGATGTGTACAAATTGCGTTTGCTAACTGGTACAGTACAATAAATGGATGTTCTCAGAGGACCGTCTTAATTTCCACTTCCCACTATTTACAACATGTATGCACATGCTTGTTCAATTCTCCCTATCCTCGCTCGTCCTATATTTCCTTCCTCAATTCCGGCCTCGATACGATTCTCTTTCGAACCCACACGATACACGAGCGGAGGACTCAGATTTGGCGCAGCATGAGGTAGACTCCAAGAAGCCTCTTATGACACGGATGTTCTATTTCACACGCATCGGACCTTGCGGAATGGCGACAGGACTTGATATTGGATTGGGCAATACCAGTCTGAGATATATCAGTCTTACATTTTATAGTGAGAGCCCTTGCAAACCCACTATGTCCCCAGCTAACGAATATGTAGCAATGTGCAAGTCGTCTTCATTAGCTTTTGTGCTCTTATTCGCCTTTCTCTTCCGACTAGAAAGCCCATCATGGCGTCTCGTAGGAATCATTGCGACAATGACTGGTGGAGTAGTAATGATGGTAGCTGGAGAAGTTGATTTCTCGGCACTCGGATTCATTCTCGTCATCTCTGCAGCATTTTTCTCCGGTTTCCGTTGGGGTCTTACGCAGATTCTCCTTTTACGAAACCCCGCGACATCGAATCCTTTCTCGTCAATCTTTTTCCTCGCACCAGTGATGTTTATTTCACTTTTCTTATTAGCCATACCCGTGGAAGGATTTCCAGCGCTGTACGAAGGTTTCCAAATCCTTGTCGAAGCGAAAGGAAAGGTCTTAGGTCCTCTGCTTCTCCTCTTCCCTGGAGTAATCGCATTTTGCATGACCGCTTCCGAGTTTGCACTTTTGCAACGAACTTCAGTCGTCACGCTTTCGATCGCTGGAATCTTCAAAGAAGTCGTCACTATATCTGCAGCAGGTATTGTCTTCGGTGACACCTTGACGCCAATCAACATTTCCGGCCTCTTCGTTACAATTGGCGCTATCGCTGCATACAACTACATCAAGATCACCAAGATGAGAGAAGACGCCCGCTTAGAAGCACACAAAAAACACATTGCAGAACACGGAGGAGGCGGAAGTGGCAGCGAAGCAGACGGTGAAAGCGAATCCGATGAAGAGGAATGGAATACAATGGAAGGCACAATGGTTACTTCAGATGGCGATATAATTCGCATCCCAGGCACGCCTTCAAAACCTGTTCATCCTGGGGAAAGCTCGGCATCGAATCAATTACGGGGGTCTACGGACAGAACGAGAGCGGAGATGGCGGCTTTGGCTGCCAGTAAGAAGGAATTGAGTGATTGAAATTTGCATGTTAGCGTTTGTCATGGATACGGAATAGAGGAGGTGTAATATATACCCGTCAGAGAAATGGGAGTAGGGTTGGGGGGTTGGTTTGGCATACCCTGAGGCGTTTTAATTTGTCCTTTTTTTTGGCATATTTGTGTATAGTTGAAGAGCGTGGGTTATGGTATATATGAACTGAGACATCGTCCAATGTCTTATCGTTATGTATGTTCGTTGTGAAAAATATCGACTCAATCGCAAGACATTCAATATCTTGACCACAAAGACTAACCTGTTGTTTCCTCGTATGCGAAGTCTAGGCCGTGTATGCAATCCCAACGTTATGTTAGGTCGGAAAAAAGAAGAATGCAAGTGCGGTCGACTTTGAACCATCCTACAACAGCAAACTTCCATTTTTCACCCATTTCGTATTCGGTAGTTTTTGTATTCGGCAGATCCAGGCCAGGGCCCAAATCACACATCCATTCCATTTCTTCTCCGACCCCGACCATATAAGCGAAATACGTCCGTTCTCTAAAAGAAATATAACAAAATTATAACATAATATAAAAAAGGTCTAAATAGACTGTTTTACTTTTGAGGTTCCCTTTTATTGTTCTTAAAAGTCTTAGTTAATTCGTAGTTGTGTAGAAGTCGTAATTACTCTTTACTTTCGGAGTCTTATTTTAGGGGGGTCGGAGAAGAAATGGAACGGCCTCGGGCTTGCATACACAAGATCCGAAGCTCAACCGCTCCAACCAATCAAGCATCCCCAATGACCACTCATCCCCAGTTTTGCTCCCGCTCCGGATAATTGCCGTCCATATATCTTACATATATAAAGTGCCTTAGGGCAAATGTGCTCACAATCAGACCAATCAAACGGTCCTATAGTGTAGTCGGTTAGCACATGGGTTTTTGAAATGAAAAATACCTGGGACCTGAGTTCGAGTCTCAGTAGGACCTTTTCTTTTTGCATTTTTTTTGTTTTTCGATTCTGGGTATCAAAGCATGAGGGAGTGGTTTTTGGATTTTTTGGGTGGGTAGGGGGTTTTGGGATTGTGACTTTGATTTTGGAAAGTTCCAGGTTGGTTCTTATTACAGATGATTACATAGAGGTAGGAGCGATAGCTTTTCATTATTCATTTTTGCCAGTTAGAAGTCTTCTCTTATTACAGGCCGCGCTATAGTCATTTGATATACTTTCTATCAATATAACTACACAGCTGAGGAGCATTATTTCGCTTCTGAATTATAAGCGACTTTCAGGCGGAAACCTGGAACCTCCAGTTCCTTTCTCAACATCTGCAGTAGACAGTTTCCACGATATCTCGACGGTTCAATTGTAGCTTTGTGACTACGCATTGCGAAGCTGTGATCTGAAATCAGGTCGCCAGGAAATACAAGATATGCTGCAGAAGTCCACGTCGGGTGAGAAACTATTCGACTTTAAGCGCTGTTATCTTCGAATGCGATTTCGAGCTTAAAGAAGTGGTTGAATTAGAGATGAAGGATTTCTACAATTTGTCGGGTTTTCTTTATTATTTTTACTTGGCTGACCAAAGTAGTCTCTAATGTGGTATCTCACAGACTGTTCGTTTGAAGGAATACAAGCCACCCAAAGAACCTGAAATAAACATCGTTAAAACTCATCCAAAGCTCCATCGATGACCAAGATATCCATTAAAACATTTCAAATGTCAACTCCACCACAACCACAAACAGGATATTCCAGAGTTTCCAGCCCAACTCCCACCGCAGCAGAAGCCCAAGGAGACATCTACCTATCAAGAACCCGATTCCGCCATCTCAGCGCTCTGAACGCCCAACCCGAGATCCCAGACCTTTTACAACAATGGACGAGCCAATCAGTCCAACCACCTTCTAAGGCTGCGGAGCCATCGCAGCAGCAATCAAAAATGGCCACAAATACCTCCTCACCCAACTCTCAGCCCGCGGGTTCCCCCTCCTAGAACCAGACGCCGAGGACTCCGCCTGCGAACACGCAGTCCGCACCGGCGACCTTGAAATCCTCGAGCTACTCCTCACTCACGGCTGGGATCCCACCGTCACCGCGACGGGGAAATCCAGACTTGAGTTCGCACCACACACCTTCCAAGATCACAGCAGCTGACAAGCATAGTCAAGTCCTCAGCAACCCGTCCATCCTCCGCTGGTTCCTCGCCCACGGCGCCGATCCTAACGCGTGGTGTCCTTACGCCGTGACATCCGTCACCGAAGCCGCGCGCTCGGCTCCGCTCGACACGCTCCGCATCCTCGTGGATCACGGCGGGATTGTCGTTGCTACGGATGCGGTTGCGCAGGCTGTCGTTGGTGATGTGCTGCGTTTCCCGGGGAGACTTGAGGTGGTGAGGTATCTTCTTGAGCGAGGCGCGCCGGTGGATGCGTATCGGTTTGAGGGGGTGGGTAGCGAGGCGGTAGGGCTGATGGGGGTTTGGGGGATGGAGACGGGGTTGCAAATTGCGGTTAGAGGGGGGAGGGGGGAGATGGTGAGGTTGCTGGTGGGGTATGGTGCGGATGGGATGAAGAGGGGTGGGTTTGGGACGAGGGGGGAGACGGCGGGGGAGATTGCTGAGGGGGTGGGGTTGCGTGAGATAGGGATGCTTCTTAAAAGGCCATGAAGCGACGAGTAAATGACGCGAGTTGGTTTGGTGTGATGAGGGAGACATATAGAAAGGTCGCTGGATATCCACGTGACCGAAGCACACCTCCTAGCGTTCCAGCACCTTGTGATTGACTATACGCTGGAGTATACAAATGTCTAATCAGTATATCATGCGGATTCTGGGCCGACCACGAGGAATTACGGTATAGCGAGTGCCAGAAGCTCAGGAGACCTTTCGAAACTCGGAGTTTTAGGTTACTAGAAACCAGTCCATCCAGGTATTCCCAGTAAATGTTGAAGCTGGAGTAGTTGACACTAACGAACCTCTTCTTGGATATCATTGCACCGATGTAATCACTGAAGCAACACCAGAGCAACACCAGATCAATAAGTTCAACGTAATTATATAATGTATTCATTTCCGCTATCTTTATTCATCAATCATAACCTCTCACACCAACTTAAACAGTAGTATTCCCCCACAAACTCCACGGCCCATTCATCAAAGTCCCCCTATAAATCTCATCCCCCGCTTGACTATAACTAGGCAGGCCAACATACCCATTCAACCAATCCAACACCGTCTTATGCCAGATCAAACTATTCTCCGGCTTCAACACCCAATGGTTCTCATCCGGGAAATTCAGGAACTTGCTGGGCACGCCCTTGGCCTGGAGGACGTTGAATGCAGCGAGACCTTCCGCGATGGGGAGACGGTAGTCGAGGTCGTTGTGCACGATGAGCATGGGGGTCGTCCAGTTCTTGGTGTGCGCGGCTGGGTTCCAGCGGGCGTAGTTGTCGTAGTCGTCCCAGAGGGTGCCGTTGAAGTCGTGTTGCATGAACCAGAGTTCTTCTGAGGCGTATTGGGAGAGCGTGTTGAAAGAGCCGTCGTGAACGAATTGGGCTTTGAATTTTTTGCCGAGGTCGTGGCCTGCGATCCAGAAGCCCATGTAGCCTCCGTAGGAGGCACCGAGTTCGACGGAGCGGTTGGTGTCGACGTAGGGGAGGTTGGCTTCGATGAATTCGTAGCCTTTGACGAGGTCGATGTAGGGGGAGCCGCCCCAGTTGTTTTGGATGCGGTCGGTGAGTGCTTGTCCGAATCCGGTGGAACCGGTTGGGTTGAAGGCGACGACGACATAACCTTGCTCTGCGAAGACCATCATATTCCAGCGGTTGGACCAGGTGTCGGCTGTAGAGCCTTGAGGACCACCGTGGACGTAAAAAGCAAGCGGGTAGGTCTCGTTCTCTTTGAAGAAAGATGGCTTGATGACCCAGGCTTGTACCATGTGGCCACCATCTCCCTCGTAGTATACTTCTGAGATTTGGCTCTTGGAAAGTCCCCATTTAGCACCGTATCCCAGGTTTGCGCTGATCAAGGAAACACCTGATGTGGCGTTGGATGCAGCAGCTGCTACAGGATCGACCCAGGAGTAGATAGAGTTGTCCAGGAAGCTGCTTCCAGTGACAAGAATCTTACCGCTGGACACTACATGTCCTTCAGTTGCTGAGTCTGCGTAGATCAAGCATGGGAAAGACGTTGTAGCGGGATCGGCTGCAACGCTGAACATCCTGACTCTGGCGCGGTCCTCGACAGCTAAGTAAAGGGTCGCAGAATCTGGAGACCAGTAAATGGCGGAAGGACTTCTGTCCCAAGCACCGACGCCAGCTGCATCAGCGTAAAACTCAGAAGCCTCGAGTCCTTTGGTGATATCAGACACAAGGAGAAGACGGTTCTTGTCACTCTCATAATTGATGCCCTTCATTCGGACAAAGGCCAAAGAGTGTCCATTTGGTGCGAAAGCTGGTGCGACTGAAGCTCCTTCCAAGCCAGGAGTAAAGATGGCTTGTGGTGAAGGAGCAGCTTCCTTGAAAGTTTTCAAAGGAAGATAGTAGAGGTCCGATTTTGTTGTTGTCGCTTGGTTAAGCTTTGGAT